TTTTCTCCTTCTCTTGCTTCCACTGTGTCCTTCTCCCGTCTCACCTCAAGTAGAGGTGCAGTGCTGGCGGACAGTCCATCAGTTTTCCCTCTGTTCTGTGGCGGAGTATAGTGCCAGTGTCCCGTGTGCCGGAGCTCGGGAGTGAGGTGGGAAGAAGAAGTGATCTATCACAAAGGGTAAATGCAGTTTGTATTGTAAAAAAAAATAAAATGCTGATAATTCTGTCAAGCCACATTTGTGACACGTTAAAAGAGAAGGATTGTGGTCCAAAGGTTTCGATTTAAGATGCTGCTTTTTATATTCTGCTTCCAAATCTCCTCCTCTGCTATAAGGAACAATGTAGAAGCTGAGTTGTTGAAGGGCTGACCTCTGACAGCAACAAAGGGGAGAACGTTTTCAGAGACCCATGTGAGTCATCACTGAGATGGCTTTGTGCACGTGAAGCTGTAAGTCTGTGTGAGAGAGATCAAATTTTGCTGAGTAGACACATTAGATCAAAACACAAATAAGCTGAATTATGTTAACTTGCTTCTCTACTGTTAATTTATTAGTTTCTGAATGATTCTGTTCTTTGTCCAATAAGACAACCCTGTGGCTATCATGTTGGGGATGGATCTAATCAAGTTGATGCATATTGTATATTGAAGGATGGCAATTCCTTACCTTGAAATGCAGAAAATCACATTCGTTAAAACTATTGAAACAGGACTTTTATTAAAAACAGGTGTTAAAATCTCTGCCAGTTGGCAGTTTTAACACCTTTCTGCTGAAAATAGAAAAGTGTAACAGACTAAAAGTCCTCACTTATGAGAGTATTAAACAAGATCGTCTTATTGCTCTTTTTCTTGAGATCCTCTGCAATCTTGCAACTAAATACTTTCACCAAGCATGTCGCATTCCCTCGCGCTCTACTCTACTACGGGCACAATCCTCAAAGGACACTACAAAGTAGCTTATTAAAGTTTTAAAGATAAAGAGTGCTTATATATAAATCTGAAGGAAAGAGTGCATGAGAGAGAAAAAAAAGGTCATCCTGCTAAAATCTCAATATTGGTCATTGTCGTGTTTTAAGGATTAAACACTCCTTCACGGGTTAAGAAGATTACACCATCTTAGCTCTTATGAATCCCTCTCAAAACCCCTCTGTATGAACTCAGAAGTGTGGATGAAAAAAGCTTCATTTATCCCAGTCAAAGAAAAAATATTTCATACATTGTAAAGTCATTTTCTTCTGAATGAGCTGTATGTTTCTCATTTGGTGAGAGGCATCAGTAGTAGTAGTAACACTCCCTTTGGGATGGAGGAGCCGATTCTGTGACAGGGGTCAGGACCGGGGATCAGGGACTCGACTCTTTGACTTGGCTGCCGGACTCTGCTGGTTTCCTTAAACAACCCAGCTGAGATGAAACCAGCAGTCCGGCCTTTGACCAGTATGCAGCCCTCATGTCCATCAGGTTTGTAAGGACAGCTCTGAAAATCAAACTGCGCGAAAAAAACACATGTGCTTGTGAGCAACATCGGCCCTGGTGTTGTCAGTACACGTGACAACGACTCCAATACGGCTCCATCTCTTGAACCCCACCACCTCCGCTCCCCTCCCCCACCCCGATGAGGCAATTATTATGCAGCAAAGCATAGTTCAAACCCGCAGAATTTCATTTAAAATTCTACTCAAGATTTCCATCAAATCCTGTCATGTTGAATCACTGCATAACCGGATGCGCAGCACCAGAATTTACTATGAGTTAAGGGGTTCACTCCATACAAAGCATCTGAGATAGCTTCAGGGGCAGCGGGATAAAATTGTGCTTCAAAGCGGACATTGTTGGACGTACAAATGTGTTCTTCCTTGCTAGGTGAGGGGACATTAGTCATTGGAAAGGAAGAGTGGAAGCCCCTATGGCGGCTTGGTACACATGGACTCAGGAAGCCGATGGGATGAACACATCCAACGAGATGACTTGCAGACCCATTAAGCAAGAAACTTAATGTGCTGGTGGACATAGTTTGCAAGTGTGGAAAAATAAAATCATGCACATTTTCAAACCTATATGTTAAGATACCACAGAGATGCCACCGCCAACGATCGGTGAGACCAACTGAAGCCGTGACACTCACGAGCCACAACCTGTCCCTCTAACAGAAAACACACTTTTCTGGCAGTGTTGTGAAGGTTTTTTTTGAATCCTCAATGCGTTGGGTGAGTGGGGAGCACGGTCGTCCTCCAATCAGAGGGTTGTCGGTTCAATCCCAGGCTCTGCTAACCCGCATGTCGATGTGTCCTTGGGCAAGACACTTAACCCAACATTACTCCTGTAGCTGTGACTACAGTGTGTGAATGTTAGTTACTGGTGTCACTGTGTATGGTTCTCCTCTGATGTACAAGTACAGTCCATTTCGCCATCGTTGCATAGTTAGGAGGATAGGATTTGATGCACTGTGATTAAAAAAAAATTTTTTTTAAAAGAGCATCAGAAATTGAACCCTTTTCTACCTAATTGGAAAAACTAGGAAAGCTCTTCAACTTGAACATTCACCTACCCAGCCGTGTCTTTCAACTTTTGAGAACATGTTTTTAAAAATGTTTTGTGTTCAACAAATAGAGCGAGGACATTAAATAATCTCTGTCAACTCAATTATTTGATCCAATGTCCTAAAATATTTATTCATCCAAATTGTTAAGAGGATTTTGAAAAAGAACTTCAGATCAACAATAAATGCTGGAGAAAAAAAAACACCTTTTCAACAAACGCCGGGTGATTATTTTTCAGAAAATCCGTTACTTCAACACTAATAACAAGGACACATCAGAGGCACAAACTCTGCTCTTGAAAACCGCTAATGAGTTTGCAAGTGAGGCACCTGGGGCCGTGAGCCTGAGGAAACACCCAGCAGACCTTTCTAACGGAAAATGGATTCATCAAAAACAGATGTTACACCATCTTCATCAGCCGTGAAGCCAAATCAGCCCTAAAGTGCCCTAAATCCCTACTTACGGCACCGTTGCTCAGGCCTTAGTTTTCCATAATGACATATACACAGCCGCACATGATGAAAACAAGTTTCAATGTCGCAGCGGGTAATTAGTAATGTTCTGCACTGCAGAATCTGGATTAAAATGTCTGCTGCATGTCATACTGTACACAAGAGGTTGACAGACTTTTTTATATGAAGTGCTATCAACATAAAGGTTACAACGCCACATGTAATTTAGAATGTCAGATGGATCTGTCATTTTATTTCATCCATACAGGCAACAAGCAGCAGCATTTAAAAAAAAAAATACCAACGTCTCATACACAGGTTGTTGTAATTCAGGGCTGCCAACTCTTTTTTTCAGTCTTAGTTGAGTGCAATGTGTTTACTTTTATCATTTATCTCTGGTAAACAATTCTTTAAAATAGTGCTTTTGCATGATGCTTTGTGGAGAACCTCAGTTTTACAGATCTCCAGTTTAAATCAACTAATCGATTATTTTACAGAATTGCATGTTGTTGGACAGAAGGAGAATTTATGGTCGGGTTGTTCTTTTTGTAATTACATATGAGAGCACTATACACAAAAGCTGCCGTACCACATCAGCATAGATATTAGTCCATTATCAGGGTTGAAGTCCCATTTGTTAGAAAACAGATCAAACCGCTAACAAGCTCCTGCTGTGAACCTGATGTACTAAAAAAAAGTGATTGTTTTTATAGCTTTGAACGTGCAGCGCATGCTTCACTAATGTCATTAATTGTTCATACCTTTGGTTATTGTTTGCCAATACCAGAGCATGCACTCAAGGATACTGTACGCACAACTGCCAACATGATCTCATCAATAATTCATTCATGGGATAATTTATTCATTAATGACCTTATCATTGTTGTCTAGGAGAAGGCAGTGGATTAGCCCGTCTCAGATGAGATAAATTTGTTTCACCCTGTCTGACCCTCTCCATGTTCACATTTAAAGTGGGAATGTTGTAGGAATAAAGAAAAAGCAACATTAAATAAAACTCAAAAAGTCCAGTATTACAATTTCTGGATAAGAAAGTGTGAATCTGATGTTGGTCTCTCGGACATAACACTTTTTTCCCCAACTTTTGCTGTTGTGATCTGTTAATTAGAGCATTATGTAATGCTGGATTAAGATTAGCCCTCCTCAACAACAATCGTTGTCAAAGAGTAATCAGCAACTGTATTTTTCCGACGATATTCAGAATCCCATCGACATGGTTCATACATTCCTGCAACACCTACGCTCTTCTCTATTCATCCAGAGGTTTTTTTTTCCTTTTACATGTTTTGTTTGTAGTTGCTGGACGTGCACTTCCTGTTTCCTCCAGAGGAGGTCCCCATCCAATGCTTTTGCAGGTTCTCCCTTGATGGAGGAACTCTTATTAACCATCTGCATTGATGTTTGCCTGAAATATATAATCCTCAAGGCAAAGGGCAAAGTTTTAATTACCTTTTCAGACATTTAGAACGTGATGACTCCATAGAGCAGAGAGGATCATTGATGTTCAGGAGCTGTACCGTTTTTCCTGAGATGAAATCACTGACGTTGTTAAATGGCGTTGAATGGGGCAGAAGTTAAATTAAATGTTTCACCCATTTCTGTGTTGTTACACTGCCGCCTAAAAGGAGAACATAGTCTGTATTAAAACACCTGCATTGCCCTCTGACACGGCTGGGTAGGTGAATGTTATTGAGTATGAATCTGAGCTGTGGGGGTATAGTTTCCTAAATGAATTCACTAATCAGCATCAGTGAAAGTCACAGGGAGAAAGACCCCCCCCCCCCCCCCCCATGACTCTTCTTACGCTCAAGGTATCTTAACACATACCAGATTCCTTCATGACCTTCAAACTCTAGCGGGAGAACAGCGCCACCCAGTGCGCTTGTGTTTTACTCACAAGCGCAAACCACAAGGGACATTATGTATTTCCATGCTATTAAGCAATGTAATGTTAAAATAATTTAAAATCAGAGCCTGAAGAACATTTCAACACAGTGTTGTTGAATTCTTGGATTTTTTATTCCGTTGTTGAGTAACAATGGTTCAGTTTTCTGTCACTTGGTCAGAAATAACCACCTTGGTCTCAGCTACGCAGATGGGTTTGGAGCCTCTTCCCACACAGCTGACGGCTCACGTCAAAGTCACTCGCTCACTATTTCTGTCTCTCTCGTACACATATTACACACAAACACACGCACACACACACACATGGCACACCAGCAAACAGCCTCCACGCAGGGTATTGGTGGCACTGTAGAGATATTGTATCTTAGCAACACCATAGCAACGCCTACAGCCGAAACAAAACAAAAATAAGCCACGGCAGCGCCATGGCAGAGCAGGTTTTAGTCTGCTATTGCTTGAGTAGGATGGTGTATGGAAAGTTCACATTTCAGCATATCAATATGATAGGAAGACCCTGAAAAGCTATGAATTTTTGATCCGCTGGCACAGAAAGCGTCATATACTGTATATATTTACAATAAAGGCTATACGTATATCTAAAGTGCAGATACACAGGCACGTCCATGCTCTCCCCCCCACCCACACACACACAGTCACACACACAATTTCAAACATGCTTCCCAGAAGCAGTGAAATGGTCACATGTCTTAGACATTGTATAATATGACAGCTAAAAAAGGTGATAGAGTATACACGTATATAATGACAATAATAACTTTAAAATAACATTTAGATGAGATTAACACTGGGAATAGTGACAGAAGTAAATCAACAGTGATATCCCACACAATGTTTCCAAAACAGTACATTTATGGACCTGATGAACGTTTCCCCTTTCTGTGATCCAGATCCCTCACGGGATTATTTTTCCTGAACTGTAATGTAACGCTGACATAAAGCCATACTGAACTTGTCCTGGTCATTACAGGCTTTTTTCACTCAAGTGATTTGTTCAAGCATTGGTTTATGGTTACCAAAATACTAATATTTAATTGTAACATGCAAGATGTGTTTATTATTAATATTCATTAGTAAGAATAATTTCAGCAACGGATGTTCTTGTTCTCACACTGGATTGCAATTCTTGGTTCTGGTTGGTTGATGCCATTTTTCTGTATTGTTTATTTAATGTCATTTTTTATTGACTGTGATAAAAACAGATCTGTGTTCTGTTTTTTTATTCAAAAAAACATCTTAGAAGAAAAATGGTTCCAGTCAAATTAGTCATTTATAATCCACTAGCATCCCACGTGTAATTTGTTGGAGTTAGATTAGCAGTCGAGGATTTCGAAGAATGATCCAGAAAAAAAAGACTCAAATTAGCTGTTTTATATTTATGGGATACCAAACTAGCAATTTGTTGTTACGCGAAATGAAAGGAATGCGTGCCAAAATGTGCATTTCTGTGATGGTAACTCAGGACAGTGTGGTACAGTAGAGCTGAGTGCTGCTCAGCAGTAGGAAATGTCCACCGCCTGGATCATTTCCCTCCTGAGTTCTCAGAGTCAGCTGCTCTTGCAGTGTGACCAAAGACAGACGTGGATTTCTGGGGTTCAGATCTTGGCCTCGGTGCTCGTCAGATCTGGCGGGTGAAAAGAGGACCGGATCCTCTGAGCTTCATTTACACACAGGTAACCAAACACTTTGTTGTACCATTCTGGAGATCTTCCCCTGAAACAAGAAAAAGGCAAAGCAGGCACATTGGTGATTGCGTTGTTTCTCAAAAAAGAAAAACTCAACCATGAGAGCACTTGAAGTCCGTCCCCACACCTGAGGTCCACTCTGGAGATGTGCGTGAGTCTGGTGCCCCCAGTCCCACAGGGCTCCAGGAGGTACTGTGACTCCAGCACCACCCCCCTCACTGCCCCCATGCGTGGGCCGTCATCGTGCTCCACGGACACACACACCAGCGCACAGGAGCCTTTGCACAGGTCTGTACGCCACGATCTGAGGGGGTGGAAAGACAAAGAGGTGGGAAAATCAGTGAGGTCAGTCAACTAATCATCATCATGTCATCTCATTTTTTTTTTTGAACAACTTGTTTAGACTGACAAACAGTCCACGACATCCAGAAATGTTCAATTAAGTATAATGCAAGCAGAAGTTTGAAAGGCAAATATTTGCAAATATTAGATTTCATAGATCCTGACCTTAGTACGACATAGTCACTGCTGGGTTGAGGTGCCATGTTGTAGTAGGAGCACTGGTACACGTCGGTCTGCTTATCCGGCGTCTCCAGAACCTTCTCCTGCTGTAGATCAGTACGCCAAAGGGGGCGCTCTCTCAGCAGCCGCTGCAGCACCTCGTGTGGCGTCGCCGACACCTCGACACACACTCGCCACCGCCTCAGAGGGTTCCCATCTCCCACCTTACACACGTCACGCGTGTTAGATTCATTGTAACAAAGAGACAGCTAAACAAGTAGTATTACAATTCCCAATGCATTTCTGCAGACGCCTGTTTTGACATCTTTTTTTTCCGTCTTCCTCTCCTCTCGGAAATCCCATAGTACCCTAGCGACGCAATGAGCACATACCTTTTTGAATGCCAGTTCCGTGTGGTCCGTGGGCGAGCGAGACACCCAGCCTTTGCTCTTGTCTTTGGCCTCTTCAAGCAGGTTCTGGAGCAGCCTTTCTAGGTGCGCATGGTAGGATCCGTCCTCATCCTCCTCTTCCTCGTCCCCGTCCACTTCCTCATCGTGAGCCTTGCACAGCTCGTCCAGCGGGGGCACCGTCAGCTCGGCCTCCATATAGGAGTTGCGAGACTGGGTCACCATCTCCTCAGGTATCTGAGGGGGACGTGCATCACATTACATGGCGTTACACTCCGTTAGCGCAAGTACTACCATGACGAAAAATGGACTTTGACAAAAGAAGAAGGTGCAATTTGACCCTGTTGTTCAATTCAATCAATTATTTATACAGCACACACAGTCAGCCTCAAGGTGACGATGGTGCGCGGTTTGAGAAGTGAGCTCATTAAACACAACAATGCTGAGGCCTTGGAAAATAACAACTCAGTAAGGGGAAACATCACACTTGGAGCCTGAAGTGAATCTATTTTTAGTCAGCACGATTATATATTATTTGAAATCCTGACCTGGAAGAGACACTGGCACTCGGTGATCATGTGAGCCAGACCCTGGGTGGCTGCCAGGTTCTCGCTCAAATCCTTCTGATCGGGACGGCCCGTTGTGTACTTCCTCTGGATTGACCTTGACAGAGAGAAATGATACAGAATATAAGTCCTTCAAGCACTTGAGCGCTCAGAGGGAGAGGAAACTGCACAAAAAGCAAAAGCAATTTCTATCACAAGGAGTGGATTAGATCTCTAAATCCATCAGGAAGCTGACAATGTCAGCTTGAGTCACCATGATAGTAATGGTAGAGGCGGTAGGAGCGATTTTCTCCATTATTTTCATGATTCTGAATATATAAAAGAAAGAGGGGAATCAAAATAATGTGGCATAAAATTGGACCAAAACTGAATGTAACATCATATAATAAGGACATGTTCTTCTCTCAGACACCATGTCTTGTTTTGCACGGCCAGAGCTATTTTTTGTTTTCTACGGAGGCATCACCAGTTCTCGACTGCACCTTGGGGAGAGGCTCTCGTTCTTCAGTATGCTGAGGTGGAAGAGCGAAGGTCCCAGACAAACGGCCAGGTTCATTGGCGTCATCTGGTTCTCCTCCACCAAGGAGGTCACATCACGCAGGAAGTAGAGCAACGCCTGCAGAACCTCCCTGTTTTCATCTGGCATCAGCAAGATCGCCGCTCTGACGGCCTGCAACCTCTGCTCCTTTGGGACGTCTGAAGAAAAAAAGATGATACATTATAAAGATAAATATAAAATGAATCACAGAGTTTCCATGAAGGCCTGCATTTAAACCATTAACAGCAAGATGCGAGGTATTCGTAGCCCTGAGGCAACTTACACTGGTAAATGTGCAGGAAGGTTTCCCCCAGCTTGCTCGTTAGCAGAGGCTCCGGCAAGTCTCTGAAGAACTGTTTGACCATGTCGGCCACGTCGTAAGCTGACTGGTCCTCGTAGCTCACGGAGTCAGGGGACAACTCACACTGCTGCCTCAGAGCCTGAATGCGTGACTTCACGCCAGATTTTCGGAACAATCCCACCTGAGAGGGGAAGGAAAGAAGAGTGGGACAAAGTCAACAAAGAAGCCACAAGGTTTGGAAGTCACTTGTTAAATGCGTTGTATTTCCTAAGCCAGGATTGTAAACCGTAGTTGCACACAATTGCAACCATTTCCAGCTGAAATTAGTAGAACAACGAGAACTGCACGGTCATTGCGTGGAAATACAGAAGTAGAGTCCTCGGTTAAAGGGACTCCATGTCACTAACCGCTACATTGTAATGTGCAGACTCTCATGCATAAGGTTTTCCTCCCTAACCTGGTCCAGACAGTGTGTTCTGAGGTGGCTGAGGGCCTGCTGTAAACATAGAGGGAGTGGAAAACCACAGCGCTGGACGTGGATGATGAGGGGAACACCAAACACACTCTTCTCTTTGTAGTCTGGCACCTTCATGCGCTTCATAAACTTGGGCACAGACCTGCGAGCGATAGACAGAAAACAATTAGGGTAAGTGTGCGGGAGAAAGATGATCTTTTCCTTCATGTGCATGCTGGTCAACAGAATTTCCCTCCCGGGTATAATAAAGTATTTGTTTACAATGATGCTTGTGTGGCTGAGAATCTAAAGCCAGTTTCTGACCTACACTGGCGCCTTGAATCACGCACAGACCCATAGTAGGAGCCGGTATGAGTGTGATAGATGAAGTGTATGTTAAAGAGTTTTGTGTGACGGTTCTGGTGCGCCAGCTGTTTTCTAAGTCTAAGGAAGCACTAACACGCGTAAACTACACCTGAGAAATTCCCTGAAATACTAATAAGCGCATGTAATATAAGCTATTAGCCGCATTGCATCCCCCCTGGTTTTTTTTCATTATAAGGGAGTTTTTCCCGTGTCGATGATTAAGGCCCTTTGAGGCAAATTTGTGATTTTGGGCTTTACAAAATAAAATGTATGCTGCTCAGTGTACACCCACCATGTCCAACCATGTTTATTAGACATTGAGTATTTCTCCATGATGGCGGTGAGCCGGAGCAAAGAGAATTTCTGCAGCAGGCTGAGTTGTCCTGCTGATTGGCTTCTGATCTGCAGTGAAGATGACGGCTGGTTGAGATGATCAGAGGTTCTGAAACTGGGCCATCGCAGGCTGGGATGGGGGAGAGAGAAACCCACAGTGATTCAGCCAGTGTACTTAGTTTTGAGAAAACAAAGGCGTCACAACGTTCCCACGTATTGAGACATTACCAATGGCATTTTGGGAGCATTCCCTCTTCACTCACCGGGGTCTTGTCAGCGAGGCCCCGACTCCAGAGTCCCGCCTCTCCCGGCCGGTTCCCATCGAATCGGTGTCGATCAAGGACATCCCGTCTCTCTCGCCTTCACTGGGAGTGGTCCTGCCCTCGCCTTCTTCCTCCCCCTCCCCTGTCTCATCCTCGGGCAGCACACTGCGGCTCCAGTGGTCCACTATTTGTTGCAAACCGCTGACATGTTGGATGATGTCATCTAGATGAGGGAACAGATTGTCCTCTTTCTCCAAGTCCAGCAGGTCTCCCGTGCTGGCGTAAAGGTAGGAGCCCGGGACGTTGTCATAAACGCTCACCCTGCTGCCACGTGGAGCTCCGGGACAGGGAGGCTTGGACAGAGGACCGCCAGACCAGGGCTCACCCGGGCCATTGTCGGGTGAAGAGGTCTGGGCCCGTGTCAGAATGCCGTTGTTGCCGTGACCCGGGGAAGGTGCCAGACTCTCTATGGACAAAGCTTTTGGAAAGGTGCCCGGTATATGGTCTTTGGGGATGTGAACAAGGAGGTTTTCATATGAGTGGAACTGGTTTCTGCCAAACTGCTTTTGTCCTTCAGTCCTCTTGCTTTGTGAAAGCAGCTGAATGTCCTCCAGATACATGCTGCTTCTCTTGCCGGCTGCGCGGGGTTTCGCACGCACAGGATCGTTCACTTTGTGCGGCGCCGTCTCGCTGCAGGGGCCAACACCCTGCGCGGGCTGGTCTTTACAGACGTCGTTAAGCGAGACAGGGGAGGTGTCGCCATCCGTCTGGTGGTTGTGTTCCAGTTGGCTGATGGGAGTACACTGGAGCACCTGCAGTGCAAGAGGCTCCTCCCCCTGCAGCACGGGCCCACTGATGACCAGCGGCGCCCTGCGGTTCGAGCCTTTCCGCTTCGTCGACGGCCCCCAAGTGCGCATCATCTCCATGCGACGCAAAAACTCCTTGGCTTTACTCCGCCCACCTGGCCCATGGCGGCTGCCCTTGATGGGCAGGGAGTTGTAGTGTGAAAGGTCCCTGGGGTGATGGTAGGAGGCAGAGAGAGACGCCATAGATATAGAGTCAGGCATGGCAGAGGCGGAGTCCTCGCTGTGCAATGAGGAGACATCGGTGTTCTCCGTCTCGCTCAGGTCCGTCAGCACGCTCTCGATGCTCACTGTGCTGTGCATCAGACCCTCCCCTGCACCCGTCGGACTGCTTTCAGGGTCGTTGTCCAACAGAAAGTCTTGCAGGCGCGACCAACGTCGGCTGCTCCTCTCGAATGTCCACCTTTTACTGATAGCCAGTGGGTCATCTTCATCAGAGTCATCGCCCTGTGGAAATATAAAGGGGTTATTAGAGCCTTAAATAAGAGTTCCTACAGAAATGACTGGAATGAATGACTGAACATGGAATTACATTACATGTCATTTAGCTGACGCTTTTATCCAAAGCGACGTACAATAAGTGCATTCAACCATAGGGTATGCACTTTGATAATCATGGCATCACACTTTCAGACGCAGAGAGATCCCATGGCAGGCAATTAAAAACAAAAATCCATGAAAAATGTCTATTTGTGGCAGTAACAGCAAAGCAACAAAAGAGTTGGTTGAGTTCATGGCTTACAGTTAAAAGAGGTTGTCTTACTTTCTTCTTGGAGTGGCTGACATCCAGTTTCATGGACGCACACTTGTTCAGAGTACTTAGACGTCTGCAACATAAACACACAGTAGGTACGTATGTTTCGTCTGTTGCCGTTTATGAACACGTTTCACTGTGTCCTTTATGATTTTATTATTCTCATCCGTCTCATTAGTCTCTCCCCAGCTCCCAAAATTGTCTTTACTCTCCCCTCCTCCCACTCAGCTGCTACTGATCCTCACCCTCAATAAGTGCATTTCCCCCCAAACACTCCTCCCTTCCACTTCCCTACCGCGTCCCTTCATCTGTCACACGTCCCCACCCGCTTCCGCTGCGTGCAACCTCCTTGGCAAAATCTCATTGTATTGCATTTCCCTCTTACTGCAACTATAGGGAATGTGAACAGCGACGTGTTAGGAGGGCAGTGACACTGTTGGTGCCTTTTCAAGATGGCGTCATTAAAAACCTTTTTGGGGGGGCCTCTTAAAAAATGCTCTTTTGTTAATTTTCTGTCCTCATACGAACTGGGAGACGGGGGATTGTTACTCGCCTTCGCCGTAGGAACTAGGATGACGTACCAACAGGAAACAGAAAGCTGTCGTAACAACATTTTTGCTTGCTGAAAGCAAATCAAGTTTGTTAAATACGCACGGGAGCCCCTGAAGTATCCGCCCCCTGTGCTTCTGCTGCAGGTTGGAACAAAGGATTCGTCCTGGTTCATTCATAGAATGATATGCCCCATAAATGATGTAGTATTGCATATAGCAGTGTAATCCAATTGAATATGAAATAAAACAACGTAACGAGACGGGGAATGACACAGGGGGACTGGGGGTGTGATGTATTCTCTCTCGATAAAGCTTTTAGGAATCACTAATACTATAATTGCTACACACTCCTCTACCTCAGACATTGGAGAGGCAGAGGTGAATAGAGAAGAAAGAAAAAGTTAAAGGGTACTCTGCCCCGAGGCTGGAAAGACCTTAGAAGAGAGGAATGGGAAATGGGAGACCAAAAGATTAAAGAGGTGTGCAAAGGGACTTAAAACCCACACTCAAAGCCATATGGTACAATATACTGGCATCCCCTCACTCTTTCCCCATTCCCTTTACCCCTCAGCCCCCCTACTTTGCCTTCCCCATCCCCCTGAGGGGTCTCCGCTCTTTGAATGGGAGATCAGAGCTGTGACCAAGATCAAAGCCTGGGCTGTCTGAGGGCAAAACGGGGATGGGGAGTTCATTAGGGGTCGGGGTCAGACATCTAATGATTAGCGGTTAGGACGAGTACAGAATCTGGGATTTTACTACTGTTAAATAGGTCACACCAGGGAGCGAGAGAGACTAAACATGTGCATCACTACACGTGTCCTTACCGGCATAGAGGCTCAACCAGATCCCGGTCCAAAAAGTCATGGTCCCTTTTCACAGAGGAAATGTCAACTGGAAACTGGGAATCTGTATGAGACAGAGAATCCGAGAGGAGGAGGGAAAAAAACGGGCATTGAGTTTAGTCAGATAATGATTGACAGGAAACAGCAGTTCTCTCTGCCGGTTAAGCGTTGTGGAAGTCTGTGAGGCATTGCACAACTGCTGCTGCCGCCGCTGGGGACACCTGTCATGTGTGTATGAAGTGTACAGAAGATACACACATGCCTTTTTAATCCCCCAAATAACCAGGATTCCACACAACGCCGCGGCCCAAATGACTCGAGCCTTTTATTCTCCGTGTGGTGGCCATCTGAAGGCATCACGTCCACCCGGGAGCAGCCAAGGAGACCGAGGGGCCTCCGTCCATAAGGCGGCTGTACTGGGGAGTCACAGCAGTAATCTGCACAGTGTGTGTGTGTGTGTGTGTGTGTGTGTGTGCGTGTGTGTGTAGTTGTTACTACTTCTGAGATTACCGGGGGCCATTTCCTGTTTGCGCCTAAATTGTATGAGACCTGATGATCATCACATGCATGAGCGCCCGTGGACTTCACTGAGATGTTGATAATGGGCAGGAGGGAAGGAAGGAAGACGGAACGCTAGATGAAAAGCAAGACGGGAAGAGATAGTAAAGAAACACAGGACAGAGAAAAGGTGGAATGAGGAAGAGAGAGGAAGAGAGGCTGTGAGAGTCCCAGGACAGGAACTATAGCCTGGAAATAGATGCAGTGTCCTCAAAAGAGGAATATGCGATGATAGACGGAGGGCAGAAAAATTGAAAGAAACAGAAAGAGAAATCCAAAAAAAGGAGAGATTTTGTGAGGAAAGTCTTAATGCTATACTTAAGGCTACTGTGTGTGTGTGTGTGTGTGTTACCTTCATAGAGCTGTGCATACTGTGGAAATCCTGCCGCTCGAAGCCAATCACAAGCCTCCTTTGCCTCAATCTCTGTGAAGAAAAAAATGTGTACACACATTAACATGTTGGTGTTTATTCAAGGAAATCTAATCTGCTCTGAAATATGAACGCTGAAAACACAAAATATCATTTTTGCAACGTTACAAAATTTTCCCCTGAATTCCAGTGCTCTGATGTCTTTTATAGGCTTGGTGTGCTGTTTTAATTGTTTGCTTTCTACAGATAGGTAAATTATGAGCCGCGAAGAGCTTAACATCGCATCTGTCTGTCCTCCCTTATCCCTCCATTTCCAGCTCACAAAACAGGAAGATCTCAGGGAAATACATTTTCCTCTGGGAATTTGCTGGAATGATGAAATTGGAAGAGTTGGGGGCGAGCCAGTGAGGGACAAAGGACTTTACACGACTCAACCGGCCGTCAGATTTCAGCCGTTGGTGCGTAAGTTTAACAGGCCCTACACATGGCACCTCTCCCCATTAGATGCCGCCGCCAGCACCACAAGAGCTTTTACAGGCACTGGTTTTACTACTTTTTTCCGCAGGCATATGAGTTGCTCACACTGCTTGACTCCGTTCATGTAAGTGTATGTGCATGTGTGTGTGGAGCAGACACTGATTACATTTTGCAGAGCCTTTGTGCTGACAAAGACATTTGAAAGATCTATGTGACAGCAATATTTTGTATTTGTTTTACAAAAACACAGCAATAACGAGCGTATACACAGAAAAATACAGATCCAAAAACGGAGTCAAACCTACACAATACACACACACACACACACACGCATGTGTTTGGAAACGGTTTCAGTGTGATTAAGTGTGAGTGGAAGGCTTAAGGTTTGTAGGTGGACATCTTCTGGGAACTCAAAGAGGATTACACAAATTGTGCAAATTATAAAAAATTAGGTATGGATTAAAAAGCCATTTCAAATTCTTTGTAGTTTTAAATAGTAAATAATACTAACTTCCACGCAGTTCTAACATTAGAATAACATCACTCACGTCGGAAACCACCAACTTGAGACATTGTCTCAGCATCCTTCTGTAGTTGCTGTCCTGATCTTATGCACTCGTCTCATTCACTCATTTATATGTGCTGGCAGTGAATTGGAGAAGCACGACAAAAACACAGGGGGACAAAAGTCAGCAGGGCCATAAAAAAAAAAACCTCTGTCTTCACCATCAGAAATGAGAGCGGTCATGATCCCTTCACCGCAATCCAGCAATTACATCCCTCTCGCAGCGTTCTCAGCATAACTCCTCTCCCTCTTTAAATTACACATGAAGCGACCGAAAAATAGTTCTTGCACCATTCTGAAAAATAGGCCGAAAACAGCGGAGAGAGAGAGAGTGAGAGCCTATAGGGGGGGAGAACACTTACTTGAAGACCTCATAGTGCAGGTGATGACATACTCCTATTCATTTCTCCTTTGCTCACTTTCCTCTCCATCTCACGGCACGTCGACCCGCTGCTTTCCAGCTCTCCATCGACTGGCAAACGTTCCGTACTTGGGAACGTGCTCCTCTCTTGACTTTCCAACCCTTGTGTTTACCACTCTGCCTCCCTCCTCCAGCCTGCCCCATGCAGCGTTTCTCTTCCCTCTAATTTTCTCCTCTCTCGCATTTTCTGCTTTGTTATGATCCACATGCAAAATCTCTCTATTTTTACATCTCTTTCTGCCTGGTGCAGCACCAGACTCTATCTTCCCCTCGCTAATTTAGTGTTACTTGCCTTTTCCGTCTTGTTTATCCTTGCGTAAACTTCTTCTTACTCTTCCTCCGTATTGCACCTCTCTTGCTAATAACTTGGTCCTCCTCCCCCCCCTCAGGTTCTCTCCTAAAAGACAAACGTCCCCGTCGCTTGCCATCATTTGTTCTTCCTCTCTGCTCCTACGAGAAGCTGGCCGACGACACCAATTTCACGTCTTCTTTGTCATCACCAGAGCTGCTGCTGCTGCCCATCACATCAGAAAAAGGTTAATCCTAGCTGGCGTTTGCCTCAGCCAGCCCCCCCACCTTGATGACAGACTGGTGGACGCTAACTTCACGTCAGCTAAAACCTGCTGGCAGGCCGGCAAGGAGACTCTGACCTCGGCCTCTTTCTTTTGCTTTACTCTACAAAACCGCAGAGCAGCACGGTATGTGGGAAAAGGAGGTTTTAGCACAGTCCAGATGTTAACCCCAGTGAGTCAGGGGATACAAAAGGGATGAGACAGACAGGCAGACAGCTGGGATGGACGGACGCTGTGGGAAAACCACGAGGAGGAGGCGGAGGAGGAGGAGGAGGACGTACCACACTAGCCTCCTCTTTCCTGACATGTGAATGAAGAGACATGTCAAAGGAGTCAACAACTCCCACGCAAAGACCAACAATCGACCAACAATAATCTTGCTTCAAAGTACTTCCAATGCATCCCTATTTAATGAGTATTCGCCTGTACCACACTCCTCTTTTGTTATTACTCACATCGGTGAGCACTGTCCGTTCTCTTCTGTGTTTTTTTGCAGAATATTTGGCACAAAAACAACACAATCAAGTAAATACCGTTGTAGATTTTTTAGGCATTTGTAGGCACTTTATCTGCCATAATAATGAAAACAATCATAAATGAAGGGTACCTCTATTACACTGACCTTTCTAGTATTGTATGTTCCCCAAAACCTTTTGTTTTTTAGAAAAAGCATGGCGTGTGTCATTACAGTGTAATTGGCAAAGCGTCTTTGTGTTTGTGCACAAATGGGGCCAAGTGGCAAAGCTCCCGTCAGCATGGGAACAATTCATCTGTGCAGAATTTAATCAAGAGATTAATTGGTACACAAATGTGTTATTAGTGGGCCACAAAACACTGAAATGCACAGTCGGACAGAGCTAATCCAAGCTGCAGACCGGGCTTTTCCTTCAGTCTATTCTATGTGTCTGTGTTCCTGCTGTGGAAAATATATGACAACCGGCAGAAAGGCTCCAGGACAAACAGCAGGGGAGGTAGACAGAGGCTACGTGCATGAGTGTGCGATGGGGTTGTGAATGTGGGCGTCAACGTGTGGGACAAAAGGGGACGACGGTGGTTCTTTACATAACAAGGATGCCAGCTATGTTGCATAAGCACCCCTGTGTCCTCACGGCCTTTCTCTCTACCTTTCATTTCCTCCCTTTCATCCAACTCCAGCGGCTTTGACTTTCTGACAGTCTTTTCTCCGTGTTATGTCTGCCTTGTGCTGGTGTCTCAAGGACCACGTAGAGCCCCGCGTGACATCATTTCCCGCTCTGAATTTCCCAGGCGTGCAGAGCGGCATGGGTTCTAAAAACAGCAACAGGAAGTGGACAACTCAACTGGATTGGACATGTCAGAAGGAGGTCAGCAGGGATTTCTGTTATACAGACCATGGGGCAACATAGATTACAACTATGAACTAAGTTTGATTCAAATTACAAAGTTATATTCAAACGCTGTTTGTTTAAATGGGTCCTTTCATTCAAAATGATTTTGATAACTAGAGAAGATCAACCGCTTATGGTGTGCAAAAACTGTATGAGTTGAGCAATCCTTCCACAGTTCTACACACACACACACACACACACACACACACATGGCCTGGAAAGAAGCCATATTCCCACATAAGCCAAAGCACTTAGTCCTTCATATTCTAAGGTCACAAAGGGAAAAAAAATAGTGTAGAAGGCAAAAGAGGAGTGATGGGAAAGAGGAGGGAAGGAGGGCCTAAAAGCAACATGTCCTTCCCTTACAGCTCATCTGCGATGATGTCGAGCCCTCAGGAACGCGCTTTAAATCTGCACAGTTTAGAATCCGTCCAGGTTCTGAGCCAGCGTCTCCCGCGCAGCACTGACTTGGGTCGCCACAGTTTAGACAGCCTTGTTTATGTGCTGCTATGAGTTAGGATGAATTATGAAGATCATGTTTAACAGCCGTCCAGCAGAGGTTATTAAAGCAATGCTCTTTAGGCTATGATCACATGATGTATGTGAAGGGAAGTCAGATATTCTCTTTTCTTTTAGTTTTTTGGTTAACGCCAAATCTTAACATTGAAACATTGCAGCTCCTAAAACTCTCTTCCACAGCTGGTCTCTAAATCGAGCAGCGGTGTCGGCTAAGAAGCGGAATGCAACTTGGGAGAGAATGCAGCGACGTCTTTCCATAATTCACTAAAGCAGCACAGGAATAAACTTGCTTCTCCAACTACATTCCTCACCTGCCGCAGCTGTCATCTTTATCTCTCTCAAACACATCAGTTTTCTTAGATGCTTCATACAAGAATTGGCTTGCAGAGGAATAAAAAAACGGACCTGAAGTGTTTTCTGCTTTCTTATAGAAGCACTCATATGTCCGATGGTAAATCGCAACAAAAAGACCACACACACACACACACACACACACACACACTACGTGATCTCTTTTAAGTGTTCCAACACAGGAGCAACAGGAGCAAAAACAGAGAGCTCAACAAAAGTCTTTATGAATGGTGGGATGTTCTCCTCACTCCCCGGGAAACTTAAGTCATGTAACAGGAAGTTGAGGAAGGAGCCGTGGAATACGTGTTGTGTAGTAGTTGGAGGAGGGGCGCTCCATAAGTCTGACTATTAAAACCAGAAAAGAAGTGTGTGTACTGAAAACCTTTGGTGTGTACAATCTTGCCAAAAGGAAAAAAAAACAAATTATAAGCGTAAGAAAAAAGATGATAGAGGAGTTGCTAAGAAAAGTTAGGTATTCATTCAGTCAAGTAGGCCTCCAGTGAAAAGATTTAATGTTGAAAGTGACAACCTTTCTATCTCAAAGATTACCTAGTTTGAATCTGCACACAGAAAAAAATAACACTAATGAGAAATTGACACTAGGTAGAAAATATCTAAGTCTCGGCCTTACAAACAATAATGGCGGCGTGAGATCCATTCATGTTCCGTCTCTCGTTTGTACAAAAAGACAAAAAGAACTAATCTGACCGGTCACATCCATAATCACGCCGCTGTGATTTAACTCTCTCTAACCCTGACCTCTTGCCAGCCTCTGCAGCAGC